GTCTTTGGTGACACACTGGAACACTACCAAGTGGGCAGGAACAAGACAGTCAAGTTGTCAGCCCCCGTTCTTGGGCTCAATGCGTCGACGTCGTCAGCAAACGACGGTCGCATCAAGAAGTCGCACACGATCAACTCGCCAGTAGCAGACATCGTCATTCATCGTGTGGGGCCTAGTGAAGGGCAGCACAACGCGCAGTATCTCTCTCGCATGGTGATGCTGGTGTTTCTAGCCAATGGCGACTTGCTCATGTACTCGGCTGCACCAAAGTTCGAGAGTTTAAAGCCTCGAGCCAACGGAGAAATCGCCCCCGTCTTCCATTTCGTACGCGTGGGGACCGAGCTGATCACGCGCCCATTTCTGCCCCCCAAGGCGCGTACGAATGCGCACAATGAAGCTGGCAATAACCCGGAAGTCAACACCAGCGCAGTGCTAGCGAAACTTCGCGCCGGCTTCCGGTATCCCATGCTGACGTGCTTCTACAACGTCAACAATATGAGCGGCGCGTTCTTCCGAGGAGCTCACCCGATGTGGATCCTGGGAGACCGTGGCCACGCGTCCTTCGTCCCCATGTGCGTCCCTAGCTCCGCTCCGCCTAAGGCGAATGGCACGTCCAAGAATGCCGCGCCTCGAGTGAGTGTGCCAGTGCTGAGTTTCACGCCGTTTCACCATTGGAACTGTCCGAATGGCTTCATCTACTTCCACTCCCGCGGTGCGCTGCGAGTGTGCGAGCTTCCGTCCAGTAAAACGTCGACGATCCTGCCTTCCAGCGGTGGGTTTGTGCTCCAGAAGGCGGAGTTTGGAGCAACGTTACACCACATGCTGTACTTGGGCAGTCACGGTCCCGGAGTGTGGCAGAAGCGCTTGAAGCGCCGACGTATGCTGTCGTTTGCAGCGCCAGACTGAAGCCAGCCGACGCAGATCGAGCCACGGAAGTGGAAGGCGCAGAGGAGGAGCTGGAACCGGAGAACTTGGACCCGAACGGGAACCCTCTCGGCAGTAACGTGATGGCGCCGACCGCCGAAATGTTCGCGGACTACGAGAC